CTCAGGCTTATGTGACAAGCAATTCACCAAATGAGCCAGCCCCCATTCCTGGGGTAGGTATTTGACAATCCCAAATCTTTTTTCCACTCAAGCTCCACCACAGACAAAACATCTTAGTGATTGATTTTTCTTTCTTTCATTTTTTAAATAGGGTTTTTTCATATTTATGGATGGATGGATGGATGGATGGACTGATTTAGTATGAGGGGTGTGAGTACCACAGTTTGTGTGTGTGGGAGGTGTGGGTGTAAGTCAAAGACAACTTGTACAGTCAGTTTTTCCCACGATCAGTTAGGTTCATAGAATCGAACTCAGGTCCTCAGGCTTGGTAGCAAGAGGCTTTAGCGAGTGAGCCATCTCTCCAGCCACTAGAAGAGCTTCTTGCTCTTGTGTTTACCTGTTTACTCTATGACATTAGCTCTTAGAATGGCTCTGTGAATGTCAGTTTGTGAGCTGTGTGGTGTCTGCTCACAGTCGAGCAGGATAGCAATCGCTCGCGCTGTCAGCAAGCCACATGCCCAGCAGAAGCCCACTCCACACTGTACGTTTTATGTCTAGAAATTTCTATTGGGTTCTTTCATAGCTTCAGTTTCTCTCTTGATTGTCCATGTGCTTCCCTCTAGGTCCTTGAGTGTACTTGTAAAACACATAACTGATATTTGTAGTTCTGTCTACTGATTTTATCTGATTTTTTCTGTACCTGGTGACAATGTGAGACATCGTGGTTTTACCATAGTGGAATATAGTTTTGTCACATGGTAGGTTTTGTTGTCTACCTTTAAAGAGGATTGGCTTCATTCCAAGGCTCCGTGAAGTCTCCCCAGGATGAGCTTTCTTGAAGACCATTGAAGAGAGGTCCTTCTCCTAGACCTGTCACTCAGTGCTGAGGCACTCTGGGAACTCTGTACGGCTGGATGTGTGAGGCACGGCTGTCAGAAAAGATGTCTCCAATGAACCTTGGAATTGAGACACCACTCAGTAGCAAAATTAACAGTTTTGAAGCAGCAACGAAAAAAGAAGGTTGAGAATCATATTCTAAAGGGAGGCGAAACTTTTCATCCTTCAGGGAAACTCATGAGAATGAGGAAGTGAAGCATTCAATAGCTTCAGAAAGCCTTAAAAATGACCAGATTCACTAGCGCCTCCCTCCCCAGGCTTATGTCAGCAGAGCAGACTGCTGAGGGACCCTCTCAGACAAGCTGAGCCACTGGAAGAAGCAGAGAGCAGCCGAGGTGCCTATAGAAGGGACCCAGAGCAATAGCGCTACCCCAAAAGGATGCCCTCCCACACGCTGGGGGGCCTGCAGACTGCGCAAAGCATTCTGGGTTTCCAGCTTTCATGAGCTACCGCTAATGCTGGGGTGGGCTTTGGAGATTTAGCTGTCTTTGAGTTATTTCTGCTCCTGTAATTCCTCAGCCATACTCCTTTAAGAAACCTCAATAAAACTCACGGTTTTGCTAAATTGTACTTCGGCGGTATCCATAATCTGATCTGTCAATGACTCACTATCTGGGATGAGTAGACATTTGTTCACTCTAGGAATTGTGACACACAATATAAATGGGTTCTGAACATGGACCAAAGGAACCAACGATGACTTGGGGAAGTGACTGCACAGTCCTGGTCGTGGGTAGCAACTCATGAAGCTAAGGCTGAACAGGGTGGGTCATCCACAAAGTGGAATCTGCCATTGTTCTGCATTGCTTGGTCCTGAAAACCTGCCTGGCGTAAGGATCCAGGCATTATACTGCCCTGACCCTGTCACATGGCAGAATGCACTCAAGTAGTACCCTGGTCAGCCCAGCGTTCTGTGGGTACCTAGTCTGTATGCAGGTGCAAAAGACCCTTTTAGAGAACGATCCCCGCCCACTTACGTTCTCTTTCCTGGTGTTTCCCCGGGTCAGAAAAGACTTCTCCTGTCTCCCTCTTCTCTTCTGTCCTCTCTGTCTCTGTGTCTCTTTACCTCTTTTCTCTCCCTCCCCTTTCCTTTCTAATAAAACTTCTCACTTAATCTCTATCTGTCTGGCATGTTTGTGCCCCCCCCGCAGTCACCGCCAAGGTCTCCCATGTGCTTTATCATAACGCCTGGGACAACCACAGAATGAAGAAAGGACAGAGCAGTGAAGGCTACACAGAGAGAGACCCTGTGATGGGGGATGTCCTTTATGCTGTGAATATATGTTTTTCTTATTGGTTGATGAATAAACTTTCGGCCAATGGACAGGGAGAATTTAGCCAGGTGGAAATCCAAACAGGGATAGAGAAAGGTAGTAGGCAGAGCCAGGAAGACGCCATGCAGCAGCTGAGGAAGCAAGAGACAGGGCATCACCAGTAAGCCACGACCACATGGAGATACACAGATTAATAGAAATGGGTTAATAATTAAGAAAGAACTAGCGGATAAGAAGCCTGAGCCATATATCAAACAGTTTATAATTATTATAAGCCTCTGTATGTTTATTTGTGACTGAATGGCTACAGGACTGGGCAAGACAGAAACTTCCATCAACAATCCTGTTTCAGGTAAATTTAAAAAAAAAAAAGAGCTGATAAAGAGTTGAATTTTTTGGGACCTTGGGACCAGGAAGGAGCTTTAGTGGCTTTGGTGAGTCCCCTGTTAGAACACAATCTTCATAATGTGAGTCAGGTTTCTGCAGACCATAATTATCTAGGTCAACATGCAAACAAGCTCTGTGAGGCGCTAAAACAAGTAAAAGAAAAAAGTCAAACATGACATTTAGAGACAAATGTGGACAAATTTACACAAAACCTGAGTCCCTGGGAAGTAAAGATATAAAAGACTAATTGGTGCTGGTGAGTCTTTAGGAGAATCTTGGGAAGGTGACAGGTGATTCCTACTGCAACTTCCCATAGAGCAGAGGTTCTCAACCTTCCTAATGTTACATCCTTTAATACAGTTCCTCAGGTTGTGGTGACCCCCAACCATAAAATTTGTTTTGTTGTTACATCATAACTGTAATTTTGCTACTGCTATGAATTGTAACATAAATACCAATATTTTCAATAGTCTTAGGTGTTACTATTTAGGCATCTGGACTGGCCCGTCCTTGGACTTCTGACAGAATATGCAGCTGCAGCCAATAAGAGTATGCTCTGTGCATATACACTATGTTGCCTTTTAAAAGGACCCTGCCCACCTACTCCCCACCTCTCTCTCTCTCTCTCCCTCCCTCTCCCTTCTCCCCACGAGCCCTCTCCCCCTCTCCCACTTATTCCTCTCTACTGCTGCTCCTGTCTCTGAAACCTGGTCTCTCCCCTCCCATTTTTTATGACCCCTTTCCCTTAATAAAAAAAAACCCTCCACTTGATCCCTGTCACATAGCATCTTTATCGTGTTGCTTTTTAAAAATTGCAACATTGGTTCCCTACTGGGAAGGCTTTCCTGGCATTTCCTCATGCCCACAGGCAGTTTGAGGCACACCAGAACCCTGGAAACTGGTCTACATACCACAGCCTCACTTCTCCAGATCACTGGGTCCCTCTATCCAAAACCAGCATGGTTGGTGAGCCCCTCCCCCTCCCCCACCTTTGGCTATCTCCACTAGTTAGTTAGGACTCATCTCTGTCTCTGTCTTGGGACTCCCTGGGGAACCCCTCTTTCATCTTACACTCTTCCCCTCAAGTATCAGAACCTAAGAAAAAATTTCTAAACTTGACATTGTACTCTGTTCTGCCAACATCTTGCCAGGTCTAGGTGCCAGAGAGTTCCATACAGCCTGCACTTTGATGAAACAACCAGGACGTGGCAGTACCCTACCTTTCTCAGATCCCCAAAGATGGTCAATGTCCCCCAGATCAGCAGAAAGTAGTCTTGAGAACTCGACGCCCTTATTCCCTAATCTGCCATGCCTAACTCCTCACCTTTTTAATAATAAGCAAAGGTGAGAATGTAAGGATTCAGACATTATGCTGGCCTGCCCCTATTACCTAGCAGAATGCACTCAGGCAATACTCTGGTCATCTCAGGGTTCCATGAGTACTAAGTCTGCACGCAGGTGTAAAGGACCCCTTTAAAAGACAGACCCATCCACCCACCCACCCACTTATGCTCTCTTACTCTCACTCTCTTGCTCTCCCATTCTCCTCTCTCTCTCTCCTTCCCCCTTTAATATACTCCACATGGTTAACAGAAAAAGAAAAAGAAAAAAAGAAAACGCTCCACAGGCTTGCTGACAGGCCAATCTTATGGGAGGATTTTCCCAATTGAGATTTTCCCTTCCCAAATGACTCTAGCCTATGTCAAGTTGACATAAGAGGTAGCCAGAACACCCAAAGACCTATCTCAATCCTGTCTGATCATTTTAGGTCCTGTCAAGTTGACAATTAACACTTGTTATCACAATGGACACTGTGTCTCAGCTTTATCTTCTAAATTCAAATCTCTTGCATACAATTCAAGTCTGGTCCCATTCCCAAGAAGCACTCATGGGCCTGCCACATTTAGAAAGAAAACTGAATAAACAATGTACTTGGCATAGATATATTTTGTGACCTTATTTCTCCATAAGAATACTATATATACACATATGGTTCCATAATTAATATACAAATACTTATGCCAGAATTTAAATATTTTGCAACCAGCTTAACTTCTTATAAAGTGTGCCATCTTCAATAATTTACTTAACATTTGCTTTATAGTTGTGCATAAACTAAAGGAGATTAGTTAAACCAATAAATAATGATATTGTACTATTAATTAAGCATGCAACATACAGGAAAACTGCCCCATATCTAAGTCAAAAATCAAATGCAATTTTCAACAGGTAATTTGGTTTCAACAAAAGAATATTGCCCACTTTCTTAAATTGAGTTACATATATACGGATTCTTCTAGCACAGTATGTTTCTAGCTTTATGCTTTACATTTAAATATGTTTCCACAAGTAAGAAGTCACTATCGAGATTCTAGAACTGGAGGTGTTGGCTGAGCATGTGCAAGACCCTGGGTTTTATCCAAAGCACCACCCCAAAAAAAAAACATATAAGAATTTTGTAAATTGCTGGGCAGTGGTGGCACATGCCTTTAATCCCAGCACTCGGGAGGCAGAGACAGGTAGATCTCTAAGTTCAAGGCTAGCCTGGTCTACAAAGATAGTTAGTTCCAGAGGAGCTAGAGCTATCCAGAGAAACCCTGTCTCAAAAAATGTGTGAGTGTAGATCAAGAAATTCAATTTCTTTAACAATTTACAGTGTGACTCCGAGTTTGTTTGATATATGATATCTAACATGCTTGAGGATTTGATGCTTTGATATATGTGCATGTTGTTAAGAGGTTGGTTGGTACAATCAAGCTAATTAACTGTATCCATCAAATAACATGGCGCCCATGACTGTTGGAAACACCTGATTCACTCTTGCATTAGTTACTTTTTTGTTGCTGTGATAAAACACCATGAGCAAGGTAACTTATAGGAGAAAGAGTTTACTTAGGCTTATGGAGAAGTCTGGAAGCAAGCAGCAGGCATGGCTGGAGGAGCTGAGAGTTGAGAGCCCACACAGCTGCAAACACAAAGCAGAGAAAGCAAACTGGAAACAGGGTAAGGCTTTAAGTACCCAAATCCTGCCCCCAGTGACACACTTCCTCCACCAAGGCCATGCCTCCTAAACCTGCCCAAACTGCCACTAACTGTGGATTAAATATTCAAGAGCCCAATGCGATGGGGGAACATCTCATTCAAACCACTACAACTGCCTTAGCAAGTCTTCTTCTTTTTGGTGGAGGGGTGGGAGTTGAGACAGGGTTTCTCTGTGTTGCCCTGGCTGTCCTGAAACTCACTCTGTAGACCAGGCAGGCCTCGAAATTACAGAAATTCACTTGCTTCTGCCTCCTGAGTGCTGGGATTAAAGATGTACACCACCACTGCCTGGCCCTTTCTATCTTCTATAACTAAAACTGTACCTATGACCAACATCTCCCAGTGTCATCTGTCTCAGTCCCTTCTATTCCCTGCTTTGGTGTCATCCAGCCATTGAGACAGAGGTTTCTTCCAAATCCCAGTCAGTGTGCTACAGTGAACCTAGCCACGTAGATTCCTCTTGAAAATGCTGGCATTACTTCCTGTGGCTATGGGTCATGGGGAAGTGCAATTTGTAACGTTTTGGGAACCTCCACGCACTTTTAGATAATGGTTGCACCCTTATAACCCTGCTGACAGTATACAGAGGCCATTCTGACAGATGTGAGATAGTGAGGTAGTATCGCACTGCTTTGGACTGCATTGCTATAGTTCCTCTAAACAATAGTGAATATGCTTTCATGGACTATTAGCCATGCTTATGTTCTTTGGAAAATACTTACTCAGGTCTTTGCCTATTTTTTAATCAGGTTATTTGTTATCTTGCAATAGAGTTGTTTGAGTTCCTTATACAGGTTAGGTATAATAATATTCCACTTTTGCTGATAGAACAAAATACCTGAGGTGTAACTTTAAAAGAAAGGAGACCCCAGGTGGTAGTGGTGCAAGGCTTTAATACCAGCACTTGAGAGGCAGAGGCAGGTGAATCTGAGGCCAGCCAGCTCTATGGAGTGAGTTCTAGGACAGCCAAAGCTATACAAAGAAGCCCTATCTCAGAAAAAAAATAACAAAACAAAAAACAAATCAAAACAACAAAAAAGGAGTTTCATTTAGTCCACTGTTTTGGGGGTTGTTTGGTTTTGGTTTAGACAGGATTTCTTTACAAAGGCTTACCCCAAACTCTCAGTCATCCTCCTGCCTTAACATCCCAAATGCACCACCATGAAAAGCTAACTCAAGGCTAGAAGCTGATAATCTATCAAGCAGCCACATCTGTTTAGCCATGTGGTTGATGACACCACAATGATGGAAACAGGAACTAGTGAGATCCTATGACAAGACAGGAAGCTGGAGGAATCCAGGAGCCAAGCTTGCCCACATCATAGCAACCCACTATTGAGAAAATGAATCTGAGTCCTTTGGAACTTCATTAGTCCCTCCTGCGGGTGGTAACATCAAGGATTTAATTACCTTATCTTCCACTGATCTCCACCTCTCAAAGTTCCTACCGCCTCTCAGCATTACCACACTGGGGGTCAATCTTGCAGCACATGCATCTTTGGGGACACAAACCATATGCAGATCATAGCAAGCGCCAGGTGTGTGGCTTGCAGTACTGTTTCCTGTCCTGTGGGCTCTTCTGTCCTCTGGTGCTCTCTGCTGTTCAGAGCCTTGCACTTTGATGTTATTCTAGCTCTGTATCTGTGCTTTTGTTTCCTGTGTTGAGAGATCACATCTAAAGTATCGCCGATGCCCAGACCAATGTCAAGAATCTTTTCCCCCTACATTTCCTACTAGTAGTTTTGCATATCAGGGTCTTGTCTCTATTTTTAATCACCTTTGAATTCAGTTTCTTCTGGTGTCCTCTGTAGAACTGTCTCAGTAGCCATACATTACCTTTAATCTGATTTTAACCATGGAAAGTTTTATTTCTCCTTAATTTTAATGGGTATGTTTGCTGGGTATAATAGTCTGGGCTGGTCTTTCAGAACTTGGAATACATTTTTTTTCAAATTCTGCTGACTCTAAAGATTTCCGTTGGTTATTAAGGTGTTATTCTTGCTAGAAGTAACTTGCCCTTCCTAGCAGCTTTCAATACCCCTTCTTCATTCTATGTTTGCTGAAGAATAATTGTTTTTACACTGTGTGAAAATAAGTTGCTATGACTGGTTTAATAAACAAGCTGGCTGACCAATAGCTGAACAGAATAAAGTTAGGCAGGAAAGCCAAATTGGGAATGATGGGATGAGGAAGGGCATCAGAGGAGACACCAGCCAGCCTCCAAAGGAAATAGGATGTGTAGAAAATGAGGTAGTAAGTCATGAACCACATAGCAAAACATAGATAAGAAATATAGAATAACCGAAATTAAGAGTTAGGTACTAACAAGCTTGAGTTGTCGACTGAGCATTTATAAGTAATATTACATCTCTGGATCAGTTATTTGGATAGCAGGCTGATAGTTATTTGGGAGCAGGTGATTGGGACAGGAAGACACCTACATATGTTTTTAATGTTTGAACTAAAATACATCATACAGAATTTCTTTTCTGGTCCTGTCTGTTTGGTCTTCTTTAGGCTTCCTGTACTTGGATAGGCATTTCTTTCTCTAGGCTTGGGAACGTTTTTTCTATGATTTTACTGAAGATATTTTCTATGTCTTCACTATGGAATTCTTCTCCTGTGCCCATGGTTAGAAGGTTAGGTCTCTTCATGGCGTTCCCAAATTATCCCATGTTCCATTACTTTTGCTTGTTTTCTCATTGACATGCACTGAGAGACCCAATTTCTCTACTTTGTCTTCCATATCTGACTCTTGTCTTTGACATGATCCACAATGTTTGTATTTCCACTGTAGTTCTTATTTGGTTTGTTTAGTTTATCAGTTAAGTCTCCTTCAGCAATTTGAACTCTATTTTCATGTCCTGGGATTGACTTATTTCATTAGTTTCTTTGTCTTTGCCATCTTTGAGTTGTTTTTGTTGTTGTTTTTCTGTATTTATAATCATTTTTCTATATCTTTTCATGGAAATTATTCCATGTCATTTTCACTTGGGCCATTACTTTTTAGAGGAGTCATGTTATTTTGGTTTTCCTGTTGTTTTTATATTCACACTGGTATTTGTTTATCTGGAGTTCCCAGGCTGGAGAGATGGTTCAGCTGTTAAAGGCTAGGCTTACAACAAAAATTATCTGGAGTTCCCTGGTTCAGTTTTTCTCTTTTCTTTTCTTTACCTTTCCTTTCCTTTCTTATATTACCTTTCTTCTTTCAGCAAGTCTTTAAAATGTTCAAGAAGGAGGTGGATAATGGCTGAGATTTCCACGTTCTTTGTTTGGTATTTAGGTCTAAGTCTCTATTCTGTGTTTTCTGCTTGCCACTTAGACTCTGGTGTCTTCAACATTTTGGTCAAGGACCATGGAATACATTTCCCCTGGCACTGTAGACTGGTCTAAAGACCATGAATTAACTAGAGTGTTCATATCAGGTAGATGACAGGGCTCTGGTTAGTTCAAAACGGAGGAAGACAGACTAGGCATTGGTCTCTGGCAAGAAGCTAGCTGGGCTTTAGGGCCAGCTGCATGGAGGGAGCTGGAAATGGGGTAAAAGAAGCCTACCTGGGTCTCTGGGCCACATAAGAAGGCTGGAATATTTTTACACGTGTGTGTGTGTGTGTGTGTGTGTGTGTGTATGTGTGTGTGTGTGTTTATGTGAGGCCAGAAGAAGGCATTTAATTGCCCACCCCCAGAACTGTTGCTTTTGATCATGGCTAGCAGAAACCTCTGCTGTCTGTTCAGTCTCTGGACTACTGCTGTCATAAGAACCAGTCTCTAGTAGCTCAGGGTTTGAGGAGGAACCAGTAAGGTCAGCAGACTATCACTCAACTTGACTTTTCTATATGAGGGAGTAAAACTTAACTGTCTGGGCCCAGTGAGGGGTGCTAAACTTAACTCTCTAGGGCCAGCATAAAAGGGAAACACACACACATAAGCACACACGCACACACACACACACACACACACACACACACACACACAATCTCCAACATGTCAGGATGTCACTTACGGTGCTGATGAATGCCGAGCCTTCAGCAGGTCAGAGAAACTGAAGAGGAGATGAAGAACAGGTGAACTACTGTACAGACAAACAGACACACGAGGACTTTTCTGAGGGCCAAAACTTAGTTCTTCATCTTGTCATTCTTATTGTTGCTTGTTCTACTCTGTTCTTTTTCTGTCCTGATTTTCTACCCTGATGTTTCCCTTTTGTCTCTCTTGATGTTTCCTTCTAGCTACACTTATACATCTTTTCTGGGGTCTTCCTTCTCGAAGGAAGCTTATATACCAAAATTTACAATGTCGGTACATTCTATTTTTCAAGTGAATGGTTACAATGAATATAAGTAAAAGCAGTATGTTTCTCATATCCCTTAGACACTTAAACAGATTACAGGTGAAAATCAAGTTGTCCCTCGAACCCACATACATTCTATACCTAAGTAACTTGTTACAGATTAACAGAGGGTAAGCAGGTGAGGTATTTTTCTCAACCAGTTCTTTTGCTGGTAGGCTGTATTTTGTGGTTACAAAGAAAAAAAACTCAGTAATTTATTATTTATCTCAAAAGGTAATCTTATAAAAAAGTCTTAAAAGAACCACAAATCTAAATTTTTCAATATGAAAAATGCTCTACTTTGAATCTTCAGGGTGCATTGTAGTTGGTTATTTTTTTTCTCTTTGGGGGACTGCCACCCAGCTCCTAAATGAATACAAAGAGACTTATCCTTATTTATGAGCGCTTGGCCTTAGCTTGGCTTGATTCTAGCCAACTTTGCTAACTTAAATTATCCCATTTCTCTTTAACTACATTTTGCCTCTGGGCTTTTTGCCTTTCTTTATTCTATATATCTTTCTTTCCTGCTTACTCTGTGGCTGACTGTGTGGCTCGGTGCTGAGTGGCTGGGTGGCTGTGTGACTGGATGGCTGTGTGACTGGGTGGCTGTGTGACTGGGTGGCTGTGTGACTGGGTGGCTGTGTGACTGGGTGGCTGTGTGACTGGGTGGCTGTGTGACTGGGTGGCTGTGTGACTGGGTGGCTGTGTGACTGGGTGGCTGTGTGACTGGGTGGCTGTGTGGCTGGATGGCTGTGTGACTGGGTGGCTGTGTGACTGGGTGGCTGTGTGGCTGGGTGGCTGTGTGACTGGGTGGCTGTGTGGCTGGGTGGCTGTGTGACTGGGTGGCTGTGTGACTGGGTGGCTGTGTGACTGGGTGGCTGTGTGACTGGATGGCTGGCCCCTGGCATTTCCTCACCTTCTCCTTTTCTCACTTCCCACTCTTCTCTATATTTCTCCTCCTCTTTATTCTCTGTGCCTGCCAGTCCTGCCTATGCTTTTTCCTGCCTAGCTATTGGCCGATCTGCTCTTTATTAGAATAATCAGGTGTTTAAGGCAGGCAAAGTAACACAGCTTCACAGAGTTAAACAAATGCAACATAAAAGAATGCAGCACAACTCTGCGTCTTTCCACAGTATAATGACTGTAACACATCTTAAACTAATCTTGTACAACAGTACATACCCGCTCATCAATAGTTTTTTGTTTGTTTGTTTTGTTTTGTTTGTTTGTTGTTTTTCAGTCTCAGGAACCTGAGGAAAGAAATGAGCCCAAGGAATCATCATCTTTGATTTCCAATCCATCAACCCATCCTAACAAGAAAGGCACATCAGCTAATAATACCTGACTACTTTGTTCTTGTTCCTTGGCCTTATGAAGTCCTTTGCTCAACTATGCGCCTTTCTAAACATTAGATTATTTTCCAAGCCATTGAAAAATTTTAACCTAACCTTAAGTTGTTATTTAAAGATTTGTTTTAGCTATGATGCACACCAAAACCTGAAAACACATCTCCCAACAATAAAAGAACTTGAACTAACTTAGCTTCTGGAACTCAATCATCTTTCTTAATCATTAACCTAAGCCAGAGTCTGTACAGCTTCTCAAGATAAACTAGCTGTGTGACATTTCCTTGTTCTGTTTTTGAATCCTCTGCAGTCTCGGCTTTATCAGAGACTTATTAGTAATTACAAATTCTTAGCTGATAGCTTGGGCTTGTTACTAACTAGCTCTTTTAATTTAAATTAATCCACACTTCCTACTTATGGTTGACCACATCATGGTACCTTCTTTCCAAAAGGCATGTTCAACTTTCTGCTTCCTCTGTGTTTGACTGGCAGCTCCTGGTGACTCCACCCTTCTTCTTCCAGAATCCTCTCCGTTATGCTCTCCCACCTAACCTCTCCTTGTCCAGCTATTGGCCAGTCAGCTCTTTATTAACAATGAGAATAATACATACTCACAGTGCACAGAAAGGGTTATTCCGCAGCATGGGGCAACGCTTTAAACAGCTCACCTTAAGAAGAAATCATCTTCATAATAACTCACAGGTAAAAATGCCTGGTAGAATGGGATATTTCCATGAGATAATCACATTATATTTAGGTAAGTGGGGATTCCCTCACATCCATTCACACCATGCCAGATACCAGGAAAAATGGCAGTGTCAAGCATGCAAAGACACAGAAGTAGCAAGAGACATTACGGGACCATGACTCTCAGAACCTTACCTATCCGAGATTCACCCATCAGAGCTTTGCTTCCTGATGTGTTCTGATCCTTCCCAAGTCCTAACCCAATCAGAGAACTCTGATTGCTTCCTCAATTCATTTCAAATGATTATAGAAAACTCAGAATCAGCCCACTCCAAAAGAGGTTCCTCTCCAGAAACAGGCCAGGTTAAATGAGGAAATGTTGCATCCCTTGCCAGACATCTTAGGCCACCCTAATATCTACCAAACAACACATCATTTCCCCAGAACTTCCCAATCAAACGTTCCAGTTTTAACTAAGGAAATATGATGACCATAACCTCGAACAAAAGGGAACAGACAGGGGCCACAACTTTGCGAAGCAGACCTTGAGTATAGCATTAGAGATGGTTAGCATCCTGTGAGGGGCAGTTTCTTAGGAAGATGATGTTTAACTTCCAGTATCACTTCTTTGCTGGTAAATGAGTGATCAGTCGGAAAAAGTCTAGTCAACTGCTTCCATGGGATGAGGATCTGCGTTCAGTAGCAGGAAAGCAAAGCCAAGAGCAGTTCCGACACATAGTAGTAGCAGGAAAGCAAAGCCAAGAGCAGTTCTGACACATAGTAGTAGCAGGAAAGCAAAGCCAAGAGCAGTTCCGACACATAGTAGTAGCAGGAAAGCAAAGCCAAGAGCAGTTCCGACACATAGTAGTCGTAGGAAAGCAAAGCCAAGAGCAGTTCTGACACATAGTAGTAGTAGGAAAGCAAAGCCAAGAGCAGTTCTGACACATAGTAGTCGCAGGAAAGCAAAGCCAAGAGCAGTTCTGACACATAGTAGTCGCAGGAAAGCAAAGCCAAGAGCAGTTCTGACACATAGCCATCACTCAGCGGGGCGGGAGTAGTCAGCCATGGCCACGATTCCCAGGCAGGCAGTAGTCAGCCATGGCCACCATTCCCAGGCAGGCAGTCGTCAGCCATGGCCACGATTCCCAGGCAGGCAGTAGTCAGCCATGGCCATGATTCCCAGGCAGGCAGTAGTCAGCCATGGCCACCATTCCCAGGCAGGCAGTAGTTAGCCATGGCCACCATTCCCAGGCAGGCAGTAGTCAGCCATGGCCACCATTCCAGGCAGCAGTAGTCCGCCGTGGCCACGATTCTCAGCAGGGCAAGAGTAGTCAGTCATGGCCATAATACAAGCATTTTCTTTACAAAGCTGATTGTAAGTTTTCCTTTTCTTATTTTTAAATTTTACAAGTCACTCAGAAGAGAAACTAAAAACTAGTGCCCTGATCTTACATGCCCAGCCTTTAGAATTTAAAGAAACATATTTCTATTGCATAAACCTGCCTGTGGAAATTTATTTTGGTGGTCCTAGAGAATGAAAACATGTTGAACACTCACTAGAACTCTCCCTACAAGGTGATTTCTGAAAACTCACCCTGACCTCTACCACTTAAAAAGGAAGGAACTATCTCCACAAGCAATGCTTGGGACACTACTCAAATGTCAGCAAAATGATAGAATCACTTGCCTAATGCTGAACAGAAAAAGCACCTCACATTGGATCAAAGCTGGAAAACTACAAAATCCCTAGAAGCAAACCAAGGACAAATCATGCCTGACATTGGCTTTAGGTGTAAATTAAAGGCCCAGGTAACAACAAAGAATAAAAAAAAAACCAGAGAATTGGAATTCATAAATGTTTTAGAATGCTATGCCTCAAAACACACAACCAGCAGAGTAAACAGCTTCATACAGAATGGGAAATAATAGAGAATCCTGTAACTGATAAGGTACTGGTGCCCAGAATACATAGAGAACTCCTGAACCCTAACAACAAATAAAAATTCCAACTCTCAAAATGGTCAAGACTTGAATAAACATGTCCCCAAAGATACACATGTTTATCAAGCACATAGAAAGGTACTTAGTACTGATCAGGAGAAACTCTCAAGTCAAAAGTACAATGAGCTACCACCTCATACTCATTACCACAACTGTTATTAAATAAAAAAAAGAAAAAATCAAATGTCGGTAAGGAAGGCTCTTACACACCAACTAACTTCCTTTGCAGGAATGTAGAGCAGTTCAGCAACTATGTTGATTATCTTTCCTTTAATATGACAAAGTGACTGACAGAATTAAATCACACTGTTAAAAAAACCTGTTTAGCTCACAGTCACAGAGCTAACACTCCATGATCATCTGGTTCCACTGTTTCTGCATATGTGGTGAAGCAAAACTTTAGGGTGGGGAACACAGTCTTACAGCAGAAATGAATGATGGCCAAGAAGCAGAGAGAGAAAAGGAGGAGCTGGAGACAAGGACCTTCTCTGCATAACTACGATTCAGCTAAGTCTCCATCACCTCCCAACAGACCACCAATCCATGACCCATCACTGATTAACTCACTGGCCTGCTTAGAGCCCTCATGATCCAGTTACCTCCCCAACACTCTACCTCTACACATCTCTGCTATTAGAACCCAGCCTTCAACACACACACACACACACACACACACACACACACACACACACACACACACACACGACCATGAGCTTCAGATTCAAACCATTACAGCAACTACAAATATCACAGGATACATGGATTTCATTTCTGCCCACCCAGCCAAGAGAACAGAAATCAAAGTGTTCATCCATGCCCACTGAAATAACATTCACAATAGCTACACCACAGAAGCAACCCATGAGCAAAAGAAAAGATAAGCAAAGTATGAAATATTCATTTAATGGACCTCTGGCTAAAAAGGGGGTAGAGCTTAGGGAGGACGCAGTCAAAGCCATGCCGTGATAAAATGAAATGGAGAGTCAGTAGGGACATTTCATTTGAAAAGAGTAGTTAGCTAAGCTACCTTAATTTTCTAGTTTCCACTGAGATCACACGTGGCTTATATATTCTCACAACCCAGAGAGAGCCTTCATGCAGAAAGAAGCCTCCCAGTCACTTTCAGTCTGGTCCAGTGCATTGCCCACATGCTCAGGCCAACACAGATACAGCAGTTCCTTTAATTAGAAAAGCAGTAACACGGGCTAAAACAGGAGAGAGAAAATAAACAATGAACACACAATAGTTGTGTTCTTTAGTGAACAAATTCATGTAGCCTAAAGAAGACACCTGAAAGGAGATGGAAAAATTAAAATTTTTGATCTACTTATAGACCTAAGTTCTATGTCAGCAGAAGGAAGATATCTCTGGAGGCCCTGAAGATCAGACTCCTGGCTTCTTGATATCCACTGTCCACAGAGCCCGTTAGGTAGTTTGGAAAGCAAACAAACAAAATGTATCATGAGAATATCTTCATCTGAAAAACAGCACTACTTTTATAGGGTGGACGGAAAAACCTATATAAAGCAAAGTTAGGGCGGTATGTTTGAGCCTAAAAACTCATTTTAGGGCCAAGCATCAGACTTCCAAATCAGGAGTCCAGGGCTGGGGTCACAGGCAAGCCCCGTCCCGCCCGACCTTCCGGTCAACCCGAGTTGCTTGGCCCCTTTTGCTGCACCTTGTGCGACAGTTCCTGATGCGCTTTACGGCGCCGCTGCCGTGTTGCGCGGGCTGCTGGGCCCGGCGGCGGTGTTGGCGCGGCCGCGGCGGTCTCCACGGGCGTGCTGGGGCGGTGGGCTCGCGCTGGCATGAGCGCGTGGCGCCCGGCCGCGGAGCGGAGTCATGGTGAGTGGCCGGCGCTGACGGGCTCCGACGTGGCGCTGGCCGGCAGGGCGGAAGCCAAGACAGACCTTTGCTCCGGCCTCCGGCGGGCTTGAGCCCTCAGAGGTCTCCGCGCCTCCTGGGAGGTCGGGGTGCTGGCCCCACCGCAGTTCCTTAGTGATGGAAATGCCCCGTGAGAGCCTTGCGGGGAGCCTTTGCAAGCACGGTTCCCTAACCCAGCAGAACTCTTACTTCCACCGCTCTTGTTTAAACTGTAATGAGGGTCTAGTGCCTGCGGGTTAAAAGTTCTCTGCGACGTCTGAAACATCACCCTTGACTTACTCTTTTCTTCTTAGCGAAAATCCCACACCCGAGAGTAAATTGTGTATCAAGATTGCAGGGGTTTTAGTTTTCCGAGACAGGGTTTCACTATGTAACCCTGGCTGTCCCAAAACTCAGGACATCCACCTGTCAATGCCTCCCACGTGCTGGGATTACATGACATTAAAAGGCCACCATCGTGCACAGTGTCAGAATGCAGTGTTTTAAAGACATATTTTTATCAAAAAAAAAAAAGTTTCTTCCAGCAAGCCCGGTGCTGCGCTGGACTCTCTTTAGTGCACCTACTTAGGACACTGAGGCAGGATTGCAAATTCATGGCCAGCCCGGACAGTCTAGCCAGACCACCTCAATAAAAGTGGAGCTTTCACAAAGCCTGCGCCTTGCATGTGTGACACCCTAGGTCTCCCCCTCCCCCACCAAAAGGAAAACAGAAGCCCCCTTTCACTGAGATGAGGAGTTTGAATAGGTGGCAGTTCAGAGAAGTCAAGATTTACTCTTTTCCTCCCTTACCAGGCCAGTACAGTGGTAGCGGTTGGACTAACCATTGCTGCTGCAGGATTTGCAGGTTTGTTTATGGTTTTGGGGGTGGAAGAGTAGACTGGCTATAGATTAATTTGCTTATTGTATTTATCTTGGTTTTAGGCCGTTATGTTTTACAAGCCATGAAGCATGTGGAGCCTCAAGTGAAACAAGTTTTCCAAAGCCTACCAAAATCTGTAAGACTTAACTTTTTGCTGTATAATTCGTACTGCCTGTCTTTGAAGCCTGGAATTGCCCTATAGCCTGAATCCCAGAGGTCCAGAGGAGTTGCAAACCTTGCGGTGCTGCCTCACTAGCAATCAGTTGCCACATGTGACAACACAGGGTGGGTGACCTTCACAGGGTGATCATCTGCCCACCATCTCTGTGTCACATGACACACATGTAGCACCGCAGTGCTGTTACATTCAAACATCACACCCCTGTAGTGAATTGGGAACAGCACACACCGCTGCTGCTTCTCATGTCATGGACAGCTTGGGCCACAACCTAAGACCTTGGTGGCCATTGTTTTCTGCTAAGGTTAAGGTCCTGGTGGCATAATTTCTCCTACACTATCATAAATTCTTATTTTAGGGGTTGCCTTGAACCAGGTATGATACTGCTGTTTTATGAGAAATAAGGGTGGCAATGGTCTCCTTTCACTCCCGGTTTTCTTCTTTTATCCTCAAGACAGTTTGTTCCCGTTTGGCTGGAAGAAATAGATGTTTAGTATTTGTTACAGTAGTTACCACTTACCAAGCAAAAATACCTTGGGAAATACATTTGTTCTCTGAAATGTACTGTTCTTTTTTTTCTTTATTGATTTAACCAACCTTCCATTTAGTTCATTAATCTTTCCTTCCAATTCAATTTTCCTTTCAGGCCTTCAGTGGTGGGTACTATAGAGGTGGGTTTGAACCCAAAATGACAAAACGGGAGGCAGCATTAATACTAGGTGTAAGGTAAGATTTCTATTAGTTATTAATATGAGATGTAGACTAAGGCAATTCCTATTAATATTTTCCTGAAATTGAAAATAAGGTAGTTACTAGGGATTCTGTCCCAAGGAGACATTGATTTTATAGTGGTCAGCTCCTTCCATGAGCACCTTTAAGCCTAACCCTCCTACAGAAGTACAGGACTCTCAACTGAAAGACTATGACAGTGCTCAGTGCTGCCTGGTGTGATCTGTAGTTAAATTCTGCCCCCATTTTAAATGAAATGTTTAATAAGAATTGTCAGGTCAACTACATTTAGTTTTGTTTTTAAGCACTGTAGTTTGGTTCTGATTTAGAAAATGCATTTTACATCTTTGTGAGGCTTGTAAACAGTGTTAAATCTGGCCCTTCTGTATAGTTGTGATTTTAAGTAAACCCAAAGTGACAATTTATGCTTCCCTTTTCAAATTAGCCCTACTGCCAATAAAGGAAAGATCAGGGATGCTCATCGACGGATCATGCTCTTAAACCACCCAGACAAGGGTAAGTAACCACGCAGTTTTCATTAAACACCACTATTAATGGGATAACTAATTCTTGGTCTAAATGTACAGAGTAGTCTCCGAGGTTTGGATTACAAGTGTCTTTAATAAGTGAAATCCACCAGCTATGGTGACATACTCCTGTAGTCCCAGCACTCAGGGAAGGGGCTGAGGCAAGAGGATCAAGGACCAACCAGGTTTGCAGTGATACCTTGTCTCACCAAAACAAAGGTATAATGAACAAAAGAGCCATTGAGTTAGCAGTAATAATAAACGTTAATACTGCTTTTAGGCTGCGTTTGATAAAATGTATTCTAATAATGAAGGTCAGCTTGTTTTTAAGACATCTTACTATGTAGCCAAGCTTGGTCTAAACCTCATGACTATCCTTCTGCCTCATTCACAAGTGTAACATGTATACCCCAACTGTTGGCTCTGAATTTTGTTGTGGTCTACTTTTGAGTTTTCCTATATTTCTTGCTTTAGACTCATAAATTTTAGTTAAGGAAAACATTTTTACAGGGCCTCCATTTGTAGTGAACACTTGATATAGGAATCACCTATTTGGAAACCTATAAGCTGTGTTTGCTTTTGATACACTTCAATGTAGCATTAACTGGTAAAAGCGAGGATTCCTTTAACTAAGACCACACAAATCTTTTTGCTTGTAGGAAAGGATATTGTCAAACGTAACAGGAAAGCTTTTTAGTATGTGACTTTACAGCATAAGGAATTTAGCTTGAATTACTTGAAGTCTTCTGCTCAGGATGCGTAGGTAAAGTCCATACAATAACATTCTACCAGCATCCTCTTGATGCTCTTTAGGACCACACTGCTTCATCAGGTTAGCAAATCTACAGCAAATCTAGATGACATTAGAAAGGGCCAGCTAATATCAAAAGAAGTAAACTGAAGCAAAAAGATAGAAACCAAACAGGTCTTTCCAACATAACCCAGAAACCCCTGGGACCACTTCAAACAGATTATGTTTACATATGCAGTAATAAGTTAAGCTTTAGTTTCAGACACATATGTGGGAAGAACTAAATCCTATTTCGGTCAGATTGTAAGGTTTTTAAAGGTAAAATTTTTGTCAAAACACTTCATTTCCCATTGGTCAAATATTTTACACAGTAATTTGGTGACCTATTTATAGTATCACAGTTGCTTTTCAGAAAATAAAGATAGAATTTAAGACCTGGGATCCTTGAAATGCAAGTAGTTCTTAACAGAGTTAGAATCTGTGCTCTAAACTGTGTTCTCCCCCCCCCCCTTTCTTCTATAGGAGGATCTCCTTATATAGCAGCCAAAATCAATGAAGCTAAAGACTTACTGGAAGGTCAAGCTAAAAAATAAGTGTGATTAGTCAGTGTATGAGTATGATTTTATAATAAAATACCTCATAGCTACACTTTGTGAAAATGGCTTGGCATAAACTAAATCAGTGTCTATTTTGTTTGAATTTGAGATTTCAAAATTAAAACTATAGTATTAGCAATTATGACTGTGAGTATAAACAGTTCATTACTTAATGAAATTTTAATACTTATGTTGCTCTTCAAGGCTAAGGTTTTGTTCTGAGAATGCACTACGACAGTCTACTAAGGCAGGGATTGTTGGTAGATAAAACTCAAGGTACAACTGGCCCAGGTACTTGAACACTGTAATTCAAAATTACCAATCTTAAGAAATTCTTAGGTAATACACTGGCAATTCAGATTTCAACACATTAAAGCTTTCTTTAAAAAATAAGAGAGACTGGGTTTCTATTAGATAGCACTGGCTGTCCTGGAACTCACTAGGTAGACCAGGATGACCTTGACTTTCTCTGCCTTCCAAGTGCTGGACCAAAGGTATGTGCTACCACACCCGGCTACATTAAAACTATGAATAGAAACATTTCAGTGTATAGGTACTATTAATTTTTTTATTCTTTTTAGTTAGTCCCTTAAAAATGTAAGTAGTGCCTGCTATGCTTCTACATCATTTAAAATTGTTATTTCAAGCATATTTCTGAATGTAAAATCCTCTCAAAATATTGAGACAATATTGAGAGTACATGCCTTTCATCACAGACATGAAAAGCAAGTGCTCTTGATATTCAGCCTCAACTGTCAACAATTTACATACTGTGAATCCAAGTGACATTTTAAGATAGGTAACTTTTAACTCCAACATTAAAGTATGTAAGGTCCTGTATAGATCAGGAGGTAAAATTCCTAGCCAGGTAGGTCCCTGTAGCATTTAATCCTGCCAGCGCTTCAGCAGTTCATGAGAGCACATACGGAGGTAAACAGGGTGGTGTCTGAATGTGATCAAGGGTACTAATGGTATTAACAGTAAATGACAGTAACAGTAAATAGCTCTGTATTTACTAGCTTATACCCTTACAGAGTCCTTACAACTAGTGTTAAAATAGTTTAAGTGGAGTGTCATAAAAACTAGCTTCTGGAGACTTTGGGTAGCAATAACTCTTCCAAACCCCATTACACATGTCCAGGTGATGTGGGTTTTATGTTAGCAAGTAGGTAAATGCACTTAAGGAATCCACAGATGAGGGTATCCAAAATATGGCTTACTAACCTTTTATTTGGCCATTTGAACTAAGTTTCAAGGCTGCAAAAGTTTCAAGAGCTGTAAGGCTCTCCCATCTAAGCCTGTCTCTCTTCCAGAGGACCCAGGTTTGAATTCCTAGAACCCACATAGCAGCTCACAACCACTTAGTAACTCCAGTTCCAAGGATCTGATACCATCTTCTGGCCTCCTTGGGCACAGTCCCTACCTGGTGCAGACATACATGCAGGCAAAATACCCATGCATAGAAAATTGAAATTTTAAATGTTTCTATGAGCAATAACAGATTAAGATTTAAAACCAGGCCGGGCGGTGGTGGCGCACGCCTTTAATCCCAGCACTCGGGAGGCAGAGGCAGGCGGGATCTGAGTTCGAGGCCAGGCTGGACCGACAACCTCCAAAACAATACAGAGAAACCCTGTCTCGTAAAAAGATTTAAAACCAGATTTCTGAAAAGCAAACTTTTACAGCAACATGGCTAAAGCAGTCACCTATGACAGCAGAAAGGACTGAGCACTGTAGACAGAAGTATCTCTGAGTGTCAAATGCTATGCGTGCCTGTTAGAAGGCAGGTGTCAGAACATTGGAAGCATTTCCTACCAAGGAGCACAGCTATTTATTCTTTTGATAGTAAGTTTTATTTGCTCTAGGCTTACCTTTTCAAGCTGAAGAAACTATTTCATTGAGAGCTCTAGGTACGTAACATTTAAATGTCACGTCTGTTAAGGGCTCTTAGGAACAGATCTGTAAAAGGCCCCTCTCCATGCTATTTCTTTCGTGCTTAAAGCCTCACGTATTGTGCTAATAAGCATTCTCAACTACTACTAGAAACCATAATAATGTGTCCAAGGAGACATGGCTGAGTCAGAAAATGTTTCTTTTCAGATTCATAGCTCCATGTCCTTAACTTCTGTATTTAACCTTTCACAGCTCTAATCTGATCATCTAAACATGTTTTTTTGGTGATACTTGCTAAGTTTACACCACATGAAAGGTGCCAGGATTGGACTGTTTTGCCACAAGTTAGGCAAGCACTTGTTAACATTCTCATCAGATGCTACAGAGACGAACAGTTAAGAGCATTAGGGCCACAGGACTCAGTAAGACTAAAGTATGGAGGGGCCAGACAGCAACCTTCAATGTTTCCCTCAGGAGCCATCCAGCTTGGTTTTTGTGACAGGTTTCACTGGAACCTAACTCTTGTTAGAATTGGGGGAAGGGGAGGGGCACTAGTCAGTGAACCCTAACAAACTGTTTCCGCGTCCCCAGGGCTGGGATTACATGCCTGTACTCTGGATTATCTGACCTTCTACTGTGGGGATTGTACTGAACTCAGATCACACTTACATGGCAAGCACTTTACTGACAGAGCTTTGTCCCCAGCTTGAGCAAGTCTTTACCAGAAGGATAAATGGAATGAAAAGTTGAAGGATTCCTCCATATTTTATGAAGATTAGTTAATGAAACAATGATTGAACCCTGGGTCTGTCTTTCCCAGTTTATCATGTTCATTTATAGTTTGGTTTTCTGTCCACAGCTTGCCTTTGGTGTGGACATTACTAGGACAGAAGCCCTAACTTACTCTCTTTAGAAATTTTACTTTTTTGAAAATGCCAAGCAGAGCACATAGTCTTTAAAGCCAATTATCTTTGGCCACCATGGATTTTTAGCAAATTCTCTTGCCTTAAACATTTTGCAAATGATAGTACTTAAGGAAGCAGTGATAAAAAAAAAAAACCTGTCAAATTTGGTAAACTACTATTCCAGAAGTCCCACAGTGTAATCTGAGACCGTTTACACCTGTACATTCTGAACCTCTGAGCCAAGTACTAGGAAAATTACAATGAGCTGCTGCTTAACAAGGTAAAAACCAGAACCAGTAAATGGCTCAGTGGTTAAGGACACTTGTAAGCCTGGCAAATTCAGTTACTTGAGAGTTGATGGAGTGAATAATCCCCAAGAAGCTCTGGCTCCAAGTGTCACATGACACAAGCATCCCACACTTATAAAAATGGAATTTTTATAAAAATAAAATTCAGGCAAAAACTTACACCTGTGAACGGCCATCCCATGAAGCTAAGTTTGAATATGTCCCATCCTAAATCTTACATACAAATGATAAAATAAATGTTTCACTTCAAATAAGCGTAAGTAAACATTACTAACCAGACCAAAATAGTCTCTGAGAATTTATAACACATCTTTTTCTGGTGATGACCTATAAAGTTGAGTTTTCAATTCAGAAACTGGAGTTTAAATGTCATCACTCTCAAATAGTTAAAGAGAAATTTACAACTTGTCTTAAGTTAAAAAAACAGCACATAAAACAAATCGCAGGCTAAGTTAAAACATATTTAATACACTCAGTGGCTAAAAACACTAGAACAAGTAAGTAACCCTGAGTCCAGGAGACATCAATGCCCACAGTTCTACTTTGCTTAGAAATGGGATGTTAGCCGGGTGTTGGTGGCGCACGCCTTTAATCCCAGCACTCGGGAGGCAGAGGCAGGCGGATCTCTGTGAGTTCGAGGCCAGGCTGGACCGACAGCCTCCAAAACAGAGAAACCCTGTCTCGTAAAACCAAAAAAAAAAAAAAAAAAAAAAAAAAGAGGATGTTAGTGCTTCTCCCAATCTCTGTGACCCAATGACAGTGTGAGTCCTGTTGTGGTATAATCTGGAACATGTTAACACATGCTACCATTCTTTGTTGTAGGAATTGAAACTAATTTTCCTTGAAAGTAACAAATTTAGGCAAGATGGCTTAGTGGATGAAAGTACTTGGGACCAGACTGGCAACCCAAATAGAAGTCCAAAGGAATATAAGCTCCAGGTAAAATGAATTAATTTATACCTAGAAGAAAGTTTATTTTTGTTTTTGTTTGCTAAAAATGGTTTCAAAATGCAAGATTAGTAAATAATTTTAGAATTAAGATACAACAACCAAAATACAGAGAAATTTAAAGATCTACTAAGAGTGGCAGTAGAGCAAATAATATATGTATACTTGCTACTTAGGGCTGCCAGACTGTGTAAGAAGGGACTCTTTATGTGTTGAACCTAACTGGAATGTCAGGAATGGACATACCCAACACAAACCACCACTGTGAGTACTTTTATAGTCATAAGGCTATGGGACACATGGTTAAAATGCTACTCTTAACTCCTTACATAGAGTAACAGACACAAAATGGCTCCCAATTATGTGCTTTTTATCTATAACATCTCAAAATCTTAAAAGAATTAGACAGTGGTCTGTGGGAAATGATGGTCAGGCCTGCCTGTACTCTCGGGTACTCAGAGAAGGTGGAACAGAAAACAGAAGCGAGGGCATCTGTACAGCCAGGTGGACATGGTGGTTCATCCCTGTAGCCCAGCACTGAAGACCCAAGGCAGGAAGATCACCTGGAATTTTAAAGCCACAATGGGCTATAGACTTACCTCAAATTTTAAAAAGTTATTGGTTTTTTTTTATTAAAGCTAAGGATACAACTCTGTATCAAAGTATTTTTTGCATAGGATCCTGAGTTCAATCCCCCAGTATCGCCCAAAAATGAATTTTTAAAAGAGATATTACATGTGCCTTCATCATCTAGCTTTAATGAACAAGAACTCTTAATATTCCTAGTGCTTTTACTTAAACCATACTATTAGGTTGGCAAAACACTGTCATTTTTGACCTCTAAGAATAATTTATAATAAAATAGCAATAACCCTAATCTATAGATGTTTCAACCTTCCAAGTTAACACCACTTTTTCAAAGATTTACTGTATCCAACTGGAATTAATTCCAGACTAAGCCCAAACTCTTACCATATTAAAACCGTTAGGGGAAAC